CAGGTGGTTAGGAAGCTCGACTCGCAATCTGAGGATCGCGGGTTCGAATCTCCGTCCCACCAAACATGCTCGCCCTTTCAGCCGTGGGAGGGTTATAATGTTACTATCAATCACACTATTCTTTGGTACAAGAGCAGCCTAAGAGTTGGCGATGGGTGGTGACGACTATCTGCCTTCCCTCTAGTCTTACACTGCTAAATTAGGGACGGCTAGCGCAGATAGCCCTCGTGTAGCTTTGCGCGAAATTCAAAACAAATAAACAAACAAGCATATCATAAAGATACTCGTGATATAACAGTCATACGGCGCTTGAAAATAATGGACCATGGCGCTTTTCTATTAAATTTCAGTACTTTATTTTTGTACCAACCATAATATTATGTTGCTTATGGCACTATTACAAATTCACGAATGCTAAAACTTTGTGTGAAATAAAGAAAACTAGCTTATTTACCAATTTTAATTTTTTGAACTACATACATTAACTGGCAATAATAACAGTGAATAATAAGTAATAGTTATAGCAGTTAATGACGAAAATCATAGATTGTTGAGAGTTATGTAACCCCTACATTGTTGCAACAGAGTTTAGTTTCAGTGCGGAAATTTATTTTGACTACATAGTTTCTACCCTATTAAAATATGTTGTTTATAAATTTACAGTATAATATTTTGTTTTGTTAGTTCATTCATCTTTTAGTGGCACTTAGAAATATCTTGCGTCTACTGCTTGCAGTTACGTAATTTAGTTGTCTTGATATATGTATACGCACCGTACACTTTACACGCGTCCAGCGTTCAAAATTTGTTTGGGATAAATCATAGAGGCTTCTCTGACATTCACTGGTTTGATTTTCTTAGATGATAGGATTGAAAATCTCAAGAGAACGCATAGTTAATCATTTTTGTTCTAAAGCTACATGTCTACACGGCGATATTCAGCAACTGCAGCTGCAGAAGTAAATCACTGAATTTACTGAGAAACTCTTGCGAAACCACGACATCCTATTGAAGGTATGTACTACACAATAACCAGTAGAAAGCTTGGGGATTCCCCATGGGATGAATGATATGCGTAGCCAAGGCAATTAAATCAATACGGAGATGCAGGAAAAGAAGGTTAATATATGCTGCAGCTTCTGTGACACATGCAAGCAGATATCATACTGTAGAGCCTAGGGCACAACGCACCGAAAGTTTGAAAGGCAAATATTCATGTGATATTAATTTCGATAATTATCAGGGTTGTGCACAAGGGGAGCAAGCAGTCCCCCTCCAGTTACTCTATACATACAGGAGTATGTGCGTGTACTGACACGGCTTGTATACATGTATATATATATAGGATATGTATATGTGTATAATGTGCCCCTCCCTCAACAACAGTCAAATGTAAATTATCGTGAACAACCATAACAATAATACAAGGCTTAATTAGATAGAGTACGAATACTTGATAGCTAATTAATGGTGAAAAACATGTGACGTTGATGTTTCTTATCATATAGGTCTTTAAAATTCAGAACATAGATAGCTGATAGCTCATGGTGAATAGACATGTAAAGATGGCTTTAGGTGGTATCGAAGACCATGATTGTTTGATTGCTAATGATGAATTGAAGCCACTTGAGGATGGCAACTGGAACTAAAAGTGGAATTTTTGAAACCACGTGGAAACAAGGACCTAGACGGTGATGTGGCAAGCAGAGCGTTGGCATTATTAACATTTGTCCATCTCACCTGTTATTTTACCTTTCCAAACTGTATATATCTAATGCCTAGCGACACCTATGTTGCTTTATTGTAACTTTGGTGTTAAAATTAACAATTATTTACAACTTAGGCGATCATCGTTAAATAATTATCAGCTGGGACTGTCATATCCGCTATAATTCGAGGGTATTAACTGCTAAACATTCTGTATTTTACATGCTTTCTTGGCATGATTTAGTCATAAAAAAGTACAAGAAACTGTATCTAAAAGGCAGTTTATTTTATTTTATTCGTTCAGAATAAACATGCTTCCGCCACCAGCAGAAGTGTACTTCAAGATTTAATCATGTTTTCAGTAACTATGTGCGAAGAATATGATCAGTTACATGTATATATATTTATATTTAAATATAACAAACGATTAAAATGTAAAAATTATGATTATTTTTTAATATAACAAACTATATTTTTGTTAATAGCAAAATTATAAACTTTCAAGTAAAATGTTTTATATATATTCAATATATACAGAGTACCTTTAACGCCTCCACCACAAAGAATAAACTGTCCACCAACAGAAGATTTAGGGTGCTCCGAATATTGTTTGAAGTTCTCAGCAGATGACAGGAACAATAGCGATGATAATTCGGTAAAGCATATAATATATCTATAAAAAGTTAGTGCATTATAAAATGTTTGTTTGTTTGTTTGTTTTTAAGCAGAATCTAAAGAATAGGCTATCTGTGCCATGCCCACCGTGTCATCGTAGGAAGGGTATTACATATAGTTTTACTTCGTGATTGTTTTAATTTTCTTACTATACGCTAAGTAACTGCGCTAGAATATTCCCTTGCTAAATATATTTCTTAGTTGTTGTAAAAATGTATGTATTATTTTTGTAAGCCATTTGTGGATGCTAGCCTAACAAGGTGGACCATTTGGCTGAAAACATATAAAAAAGTAAAAGTTTTTTTAATATTTTTTCCCAAAGTTTACGCTTTCTGATGGATTGAATTATTGAAGAAGTAAAAACTAAATGGTCTAATTTATTATTTGAAAGTATCGAATTGTTTAAAAACGCTATAAGAAATACAAAAGTAAAACGTAGTCAACATTTTGTCCAAAAAAAAAACTGGTCTCCATGAAGTTCGTTTATCCAAAACTTATATTTTCCTTATGACATTTTTCATCATCTTCACAATTATAATTTATATTTTGAAGCTGTATAGTGTCCTAATTTGTTTTATTTTACGTCCCCGTCCCCTAATGGTTAAGCAGTAAATTTGTGGCCTTATAATGCTACAAATTGGGTTTCGATACCCACTGTGGGCAAATAATAAACAGCCCTTTGTGTAAGAATGTGCTATGACGTGATAGTACATTTTCACGTCATTTGTCTCAAATGTTGATTAAGAGTGATATTGTTCCTAGTACAAAAAAAAATACATTCTAGGTACAATTAGGTACTGCATTAATCAAATTAAAAGTAAGTTATTCTTGTAACTGATAGAAACAACTATTGTAACAGATGTATTATACTGAAAAACTAACAATTTTGTTCAACTGTTACCGGAAAGAGCATCACACAAAATAGTTTTAAACAAGTACTGTAGGACACACGTTACCATTCTTTATTAGTACTTTGTGAGTCAGTTATATTTATAGTAGTTACCTATATATAACTAATTTGTAAACGTGTACGTGTATTTAAATACATGTATATCTTTTATGTATTGTTATATTTTTCTTTCTAATATTGTAAACTTTGGATAAAGATTTAAACACGAAACTATTCATATGTTCAGAGACAATATGTGTATTTTTAGTGTGTATAGTGCTTGCAGTTCGAACACGTTATGCAAATATTGTTCACGGTCCCTCTTTCTATAAGAAAACATTGTTCTTTAAGTATGATCTTTAGTTTGAAAACTATAAGTATTTTTACAGCCTGTAACATGTGGACCACCTGTGAAGCCACCACCTAAACCAAAAAGAAGACCCACGACATGTATGTCTTCATCATCTCCTCCTTCAACTCCGAGCACTAATGTCGCTTTCGATGGAGAAAAATATCTGAGTGTTGAAACCACTGGGCAAGTGAACACAAAGTTCGGACCCTTAGTCAATCTTGACAAAGCGAACAGCACCGGAGACTTGAGACAAGAAGTACTGATGTGTTTCTCTAGTGAAGCTAGTGGTAGTGATGACGAGGATGAAAGCATGGAGAACTTGATGTATGTCAAATCTCTGAGTGATTGTCTGAAGCCGCCCGAGACTTCACACGATCAGAAGTTTGCTCATGTCAAATACCTTCTAAAGATGGGACAAGTAGAAGGACTAGACGAGCCTCCTCCAAACTTTGTTCCCCCTCCTCCTCCATTCAGCAGCATCCACAGCAAAGACAGGAAAAATGAGCATAGAAACAGACACTCAAAAATATGGAATACTCATTACCTGGATACCAACACTGACAGTAATCATATGGAGGAACGCCGGTGCTTTGTAACGTTTGGTAGTCAGCCCCAATCCACACGCCAACTGTCCAAAAGTAATAAAATCACGTCATCTCCGGAAGACATGACTGACAAAGGTACAATCAATACTTTATCTAGTAAATACAAACATGGACGTATCCCAGTTCTGTTCGACCATTTCAGCGACGATGAAAGGCCTTTTAAAGTTGGGCAAGTCCGGCGTTGTGCATCCGATAGAAGTGCAAATAGGTCAAAGCTGATCAAGAAAAAGGTCAAAGACATCAGAAAAAATCCAGAAAAAGGTTTGTAGTTTAGGATGTCATTTTGATAAGATTGATATCATACATCTGAACTCGTAATGAGTGTGTAAACATTTGGTAATGTTCATAGCACAGAAAAGTCTCCTTTTCTCTTTACCTCTCCCTCTAATTTGCCCCCAGTGGCACAGCGGTATGTCTGCGGACTCACAACGGTTTTCGATACCCGTGGTGGGCAGAGAATAGTAAATAGTTCGTTGTGTAGCTTTGTGCTTAACTTCAAACAAACAAACTCTCTGTTTTTGCTATTTAATATTGTGAATATCATGTTTGCTTATTAATGCTTGTCAATAATATGTTATGTTTATGCTATTAAACTTGTCTTGAATGCTGTAGGTAAGTTATTTATTTTTTATGTTTTCCTGGTTTTGAGTTCCATTTATGTACAATGTTTTGCTGTTGTTGATGTCTCGAAAACTATGTTTTTAATTTTTCTCTTAAATAGCGTTTATATTTCTTCAAATGCTGTCTTTTTACGTTGTTCCCATGTCACTTTCCACATTTTATACATACAGTCACAAACTGTGAATGGGATTTATAACCTGAACTACACTTTATGAGCACATGGGCTAAAGAGCTAGGTTAGAGACCCCTATAGAGTTCAGAGGGTCGCGGGTTCGAATCCCCCTCCAACCAAACATGCTTGCCCTTTCAGCCGTGGGAGGGTTATAATGTTACTGTCAATCACACTATTCTTTGGTACAAGAGCAGCCTAAGAGTTGGCGATGGGTGGTGATGACTATCTGCCTTCCCTCTAGTCTTACACTGCTAAATTAGGGACGGCTAGCGCAGATAGCCCTCGTGTAATTTTGCGCGAAATTCAAAACAAACAAATTACTGAACCACAGAAACTACAAGACGATTTAAGGATTTTAATAGAAATGATATAATACATCAAGCAACGTCACGCGTTGTAGAAATATATCAGTATGTCACGTTACCGTGAAATAATGTGTTCCCTAAATTCAAAAGACACTTGAACTATTCTCTCAGCTACTAAATATAAAACTGAATTTAACAACTTGTTGTTTTATTATGAATTTACTTCATTAATTTAATCGTGCCTAAACGAGTTTCAAGTGCCGCGGCTATTGAGGATTCCCTCTTGTTTATTGAAATATCGGTGTTTACCATACCCATATTTTAATAAAGAAGATTGAATCCTCAATAGCCGCGGCACTTGAAATTATTTGAGGCAGGATCAAATTAATCTACGAGACCTTTTTTTCCCTCATTTTATTAGCTAAATTTTTTTGTGCGTCAGCAACACTAAGCGTGGGGCGCGCGTATACCCGATTCGATTTTATTACTCATCAGTATTTTTACTAGCCTACCCTCAAATTGAAATTATTTTAGGTAGGAGTAGAGTAAATAAATCTATGAGACCATGGACGTGGCCGAATACAACAATTGAAATGATTTGACCTCCTGCGTCCAAAATTGTAACTAGATCTCAAATCGGTCAAGAGATGACGGAGCTATGAGCTAAAAATTTGTACTTGGAAATATAACAATAACTCAGTGCCATTCTATGAGCCGCTATGACGCGACTAAAAATGTTTTGCATTCAAAAACTACTCTCCCAAATGGCATTAGATTGAGTTAGCTTAACGTTATCTGTACAGAAAATAATCATATGTATTTTTTGTACGCATATGATTGCTCCCTTATTTTAGGAGCCCGGCGTGGCCTACTAGTTGGCATGCCCAGCCTGTAAATCATCAGATTCAAGGCTCACATTATACTGCCACAAAAACGCTTTTGGGGCCAATGATATGCTGTAAGAGTGACAGTCAAATCCCACTACTCAGTCAGATAATTTTAAGCTCATAAGGGGGAGTGCTATGCCACCCCCTGAATTGCGTCAATATATGTGTAACGTACTCGAAAGGTGTAAAAACAGCTTCAAATACCATTTCCAGTAAAAATTACAAAAATGTTTTCCGAAGGGGCATGCCACTAGAGTCCCCCCCCCCAAACAGTTATGTCCACTCCAAAAGAAGCACCCCTACCCATCCTTTCTTTATATAAATTTCAGGCTACGCCTGCACTTCCCTGTATATAAGATTTCTGCCTATCCCCATTAATAGTAACCTAAGGGGTAACGTGGCACTGAGTGCTTTTGATTTTCCGCTCAGTTTCGTAACCGGCATTTTGGTCTTTTAATAGACCAGGGAGGGTCAGGTACAAAAAAGACCTCTTCCTCCTTTCCGAACCATAATTTTGATACTGTTGAAGTCTATGTCGATATGACATGAGGGTCGGAGTAAGCCGCACTTGCTCCAACCCCTTTCAGGGCAATGTCCATGTACTGTAGATATCTTCATTTACATTCTTGTGTAATATAATATATTTTACATAAAATACCCATTAAATGTATTTGTTTTAGTCCAAACTAGTGTAGGGTTTTAAAGTTAATAGGTGGCCTTATTACATCCTTATTTCTAAAATAAATGTTTACAGGTGAGAGGTACTTAGGTCTACTTTCATCATGTGTGTAGTAGCGATCAAGTTCACAGAGTATGTCATTCTTTAGCCAATTTTTCTCAAAGTAATTTAGAGTATTATACAAGAGTCTATCGGCTATTGTTTGTATGTTTGCATAGCTGTGAATAAATTTTGATAAGGTGCTATGGGGACTTTATGTGCTGTGGTAATAATTGAGTTTTGTATAGATTGTAGTTTATTTATGTGTTTGGGAGCTATGTGAAAGTGAGTAATTGATTTTTAGGAACGTTTATTTTTATTTGATATTGTTGGTAATATTCTTCTATATTATTTAATAATGGTTGTAGATTTGTTACTGCTATAGATGGGGTGGGGGCACTTTTTCCAACCGCAACGTCGTCCGCGAATTGTGATGCGAAACCATGAGTAGGATCTTTTACAGGCATATTGCCCACATACATGATGAATAGAATAGGGCTAACTACCCCTCCTTGGGAGACGCCTGCATCTCGGGTGAACGACTCAGAATAGGTTCCCCTGACATTTATTTTGTAATTTCTATTTTCCAAAAAGTTGGATAGCCAGCGAATAATCACCCACGGAAGTTCCAACCTGAGACCATTGTGCCATACAGTGTCGAAAGCTTTCTCGACATCGAGAAAGTAGGCGACAGTGCATTCATTTTTATTAAAGCTATCTTTTATTGTTTCTGTTAATCTAATCAAATGATCTGTTGTTTGTCTGAATTTTCTAAATCCATTTTGGATTTCAGGTAATTGAGGTTGCTTCTAGATAACTTGAGAGTCTATTGCTTATTATTCGTTCGAGAATATTTCCTACACAGCTGGTCAGGCTGATCGGTCGGTAGTTGTTTGGTTTATTTGCTGACTTTCCTTTTTTATGGAAAATTAGTATGATTGCTTGCTTCCAAGAAACCGGGATGTATCCAGAACTTAGTGATAAATTAAAAAGTGCTGTGAGATGTCCATACAGTCTCCGAGTGCCTTTTTTGAGGAGGATAGCCTGTATGCCGTCTTCTCCTGGTTCTTTGTTTTTGGTAGCTTTTATAGCTTGTTGTACTTCCGTTTCTGTAATTGTGTTTGTGAGCGGATATGTAATTGGGTTTTCTGTTTCATTAAGTCTCATAATTGTATTTTGTATGTTAACTGGGAATTTTGGTGTGTACATGGTTCTCTTTAGTTTAATATGGTTGTTAACTCTGTTGAAGAAGTGTACATTCATGTGTGGTTCTTGGTGTGTTTTGTAGGTGTTCTTGGCCTTTTCAGTGTTTGTGTATGCTGTCTTATTTTGCGTTTCTAAAGGTGGGTAGTTACTGTTCGGGTTTCTTGTGTTGGTGAATCGTTTGAGGTGGGTAGTTACTGTTAGAGTTTCCTGTGTTGGTGAATCGTTTGAGGTGGGTAGTTGCTGTTAGGGTTTCCTGTGTTGGTGAATCGTTTGAGGTGGGTACTTACTGTTAGGGTTTCCTGTGGTGGTGAATCGTTTGAGGTGATTGCAGAACTGTTTTGAGTAAGTTTTATCGTTTAGTTGTGAACAGAAATTATCCCAGCCGTCTTGTTTTAGTTGTTGGACTTCATTTCTTATTTTGTTTCTTTGTGTTTTAAGTGCTGAATCTCGTGTTTGTATGAATTGTCTGCGTAGTTTCCTTCTGTCTTTGCCCCCAGTGGCACAGCGTTATGTCTGCGGACTTACAACGCTAGAAATCGGGTTTCGATACCCGTAGTGAGCAGAGCACAGATAGCCCATTGTGTAGCTTTGTGCTTAATTACAAACAAACCTTCTGTCTTGTATCATTTCTATAATTTGTGTGTGAAGTTGCCATGTTTGTGTTGTTTACGCTTGGGTATAGTTTCCTTCGCTGCTGTTTATAGGCACTCGGTGATTGTATGGCAAAAAGCATCTATTTCGGATGCGTCCGCGGCGTGATATACTTTTTATTTCGGTAGAATATTGCCAAGGATTGAATGGTGGTCTATCCAATTAGCTTTCTTATAGTTAAATTATTCGGTTGCTATTGATTTATTTGTATGGGGTGTGAGATTGAAGATTCACCAGACAGGTCAATGGTCACTATCAATATCTTGTCCTACTTGAAAATTTACGAATTTTCGACTCGTATTAAACGAACGCAGGCAAAGATCCAGAATATCACTGGTGCCACGTGCGTATGATATATGTGTCGGAGTAGCATCATTTATTAATACTGTGTTAGTGTCTATTGAATATATATATATACAATATTCTGCCGTTTGCCTTTGTAGATTTACAATTAGATATTAGGCGTTTTCTATTTAGATCTCCTGTTTTAATGGTATTAGGGTTATGATTATTTATGTAACATAGTAGCTTAGTATCAAGCTTATTGTTCGGTGAGCAGTATATACCTGTTATCATTACATTTTTAGTTTGTATATCTATTGCAATACATTCATTTGTGGAAGTTATTTGTACTTCCTTTACAATCAGTTCAGATTTATGTAGCAGGAGTATTCCTGTGTTGGGGTCATTTTTGTTTTTTACATATAAACAAGTTTCACTAATAACAAATATATTTGGTTTACCGGTTTTGGTTATATCTCCAATCTCGTGCTTCTTGGAAGCAAGTGCACCTTGGATGTTGACATGTGCCACTGTGAATTTGATTTGTTAGTGTGTTTGTAATTGATAGTAGGTATGGCTGTATCTTTTCTGTTATTATTTTTAGTGAAATGTCTATGCAACTGTTTGTTCTTGTTGGTTTTGAGAATTCTTCCATGAATTCTGTAGCTATGTTTCGTTTTTCATTTAGTTCTGTTTCTTTTTTTTTTTGGCACTTCTTTGGTTGTTTTCAGGTTCTACGAATATTTGCGTCTCATTGTCGTTTTCTCTTGCTATTGTGTTTGTTACTGCTGTGGCATAGGTTGTAGGTTTTTGAGCTTGTGATCTTGGTAATAAAGTCTTTTTCTGGTTTGTTTGTGGTGGTTGTGTCTGTATTTGTTTTTTTTTTGTGAACTTCCCGAATTCCCTCTAGTCTTTAAGTTCAAAATGAGGGACGGCTATGTGCAGATAGCCCTTGTCTAGCTTTGCGCGATAATTGTAAACATATGGCAGCAAGTATCTGAAACTTTTTCTTCTTTCAGATAATCAACAACATGCAACTCCTTTTATGAAGGAACTTGAAGAAGTACTGATTAGAAAAAAATCTAAGACTTAAAGTAAGCAGGTATGACGATGATAAAGGTGTGTGTATTAAAATCATTTCGTAAAACAGATAAAACCATGCTTTATAAAACACATCTGATTCATATAGTTGTTCCGAGACAATTCCACGGTTGAAATAAACTGGTAATTTCATTCTTCCATAATTAATAAAGAGCATATCCTTATGTAGGAATATAATAGAAACTTTTCTAAACTTTCGTGCAGATGTTCTGTGATATCCTTGTAAACTGTATGTACTAATCTCATAGCTTAGGCAATGGTTGCAACTATTATTCGATAAGACTTGTACTGTTTCCGTGTCACGCAATCCTGAAGTAAGGGTCTTACTTGTAAAAGGTAGTCTGAATAGGAAATTTATTTTGTACATATGTAATGGGAATAATAGTTAACGTACGTAATCTAGTTCTACGAAATACTGCACAAAGAGTTTGGTCTGGTTTGAGAGAATGACATTATATTACATTTCTTGTCTTCTTTTCTATATACGTGTTTTTCCCAGCACCAGTAGCCAAAAGCTCACGCAACGAATTCTAGAGTCAGTCAGTGCTGGTAAAAGCTCAAACATATCTCTATTATTAACAAATATTTTACTCATACACTTGTGTTTACTTGTTTTTCCTTTGCTATCTATGTTTGAAATTAACCTCTGCATTACATTTCTAGAACGTGTTGTATTGCGAATATCTATATCTTTTTGTTGGGCTTCAGTTCACTGTAACACTGTCATTTAGCTTTTAAGATAGATATATGCAACATTATAAATATTTTAAACTTCCTTGTATTGCAACTTTTGCCTTTGAAGCTTTAACTTGTATAGTATATAAATACCTTTAACGTAAAAGTTAACGATTGATCACCAATAGGAAGTACATCAATACACACAAAACTTTGAGCCTTTATTAGATGTGAAGTCTCGGATAATTTCTCAATAATGTAGAGACCTTGAGATTTCATTTTCTATAGAAATAATTAAAAGTCAACGAAACACCCTTGCCTTACAGTGAGTCGAAAATAGTTTGTAATTAATTTTTGGTTGTGAAAAAGTATCCTCTAGTGGCTCAGCAGTAAGCTTGAGGGCTTATAAGGCTAACATTTGGGATTCGATACCCACGGTGGCCACAGCTCAGATAGTCTATTATGTAGCTTTTTGCTTGAGCACAAACAGAACAAAAGTTTTGAAGAAGTCTTTCAGCATATGCGACAGTCATTGGTACGTCCAGATGTAGCCATAGAGACATATATGGAAGATTGAGTACGTTATACAAAATCAATTTACGATATGCAAATCCAAAAACCAAGTGACAACTACATCCGTTATAAAGTTTCGTAGGTTGTGTGATGCCATCAAAAATAAATAATTTTGGGGAAATATATGTAAGATATTTATACAATCATATCACAAAGATGTGCTCAGCTTGAAAATTTAGAATTTCCACGACGGGGATATCCGTTGTACTTAATGGCATTGGAATAAAGAAATATGGATTAACTTTACACTCCACATCAATAACACTTTAGAAGCAGTTAGTAAAAGAATATCCTACCTTTACCGTATTAGCGGTACCAACAGAGGATGTAACAGCCACTCAATTAAAGCCATCTACAAAACATAAATTCACCCACTTTACGAATACGCATGCGCTATCACGTGCAACATCCCAGACAAAACATTCAGGCTACAAACATCCAAAAAGATACCTGCAACAAGTCAAAACCAGCTATGGTAAGCAAAGTGTGGTGTCTTGTAACAGGTGAGAATTCATGAAAGTGAAGGTCAGCGGCAAAAGCTAACCACGTTACACAACATAATGAAGAGGGATCTTCATCTGGAAAAGTGACAGAAGTCATATATACACAAGTTGTTTCCATAACACAGTTGTTCAAGTGTTTAATACCTCAAACAAACGAATAATGAAATGAACATTTATGTCATTCCACACGAACACATACTTATCAAGTCATAAGACACAGTGCTTATGGATATCCCTGTAATTGGATTGTTAAAACAGGCATTGGGAAACCATTGTCCTCCTATAGTAGATGACTTATGGAAAGCATACATGGAGGAGGGATGTGTTTTGGACATGACAGCCTATTAGTGGAGTCTTTTGTAATTGAAAGTATACTGCAGGGCTATTGTTAAACATGGCAATACAGACCGTAACAATGTGGTGACACTCCAAATTCGTTTTAATATAACGTATTTAACCTCTGTGTACGTTTGGATACGATTCTTGAATTTGTTGTCTTTGTCACATATATTCAAAACCCCTGAGAGATGTCAATGATTCTTGAAAAATCTGAAGCTCTTTGCATAATTTCAAGCCATCTACACTGTATATCACAAAAATATCCACTTTCAAACAAAAACGTTGAACATCTTAATAATATTTAATTAAGATAATTTTTCTTATATCCCCCAAATCTCTAATACCAAATTCTCCTTGTGAGAGGGGCTAACTTCAAATCTTTTGTCAATTGATAATACATTTCTATCAATCATATCTAAGAAGTAATAAATTTTAAAAAATTCTGATGATCTACCATTGAATCATATGTTACTTCTTATGAAAAATTTCGACTATTTTTATGTAAACTGTTTGTTTAAAAATGAAAGTTTTGTATTAATTTCTTTTGACAATTTTTGGGCTGATATTAACGTTGATGTAAATCAACTCTAATGGGATTATTTTAAGAAGGATATTTGGTGTTCTTCATGTTTTGTAGCAACACTCAGTGATAGAATTGGGCCAGCCATGGTGGAAGTGAAAATGTAACCTTGACCACATTCTGGAAAGAATCAGGAACAAGTATTCATTTTCAAACAGCATTTTCCCCCATGTGCCTCTCCTGCGTTTTGGCTGAAATGTCTTGGCCACACGCTCTTGTACTTCACCAGTCAATAGAAGACTCCCATACACAAACATTTTGCTAAGCTTGGCATTAAATCTAAATATTGGATTCCCAAGTAATATTTTCCAGTTCCACTATTGGCTACATCTATTTGAGTTTTAGAATTTGGCATCAATTTACTTACTCTATTTACTAGTACTAAGAGGTCAAACAAGTAAACAAAGCCAATTTTCAATTAAATCTACATATTGGGTTCCCAAGTAATATTTTCCAGTTCCACCATTGGCTACATCTACTCGCGTTTAAGAATTTGACATCAATTTACTTACTCTATTTACTAATAACTAAGAGGTCGAACATAACTCGGTTCATGACTAGATTGTTTGTTGCTTCAGATATTTGGTCAAATGAATTTTTACACACACGCACACAAAACTTTATATCGAGTTATTTTCACACTAGTAATCCATGACTGGTGGTAACATCTACTGTAAGAAAATGTATATAATACTATGCAAATTCAACGTTTGTGCTCTCAATTTTGACAAACCAAAGAATGCAAGATAACTGCTCCCAAGAGCAGTGAATAGTATCCTGGCTACTGTTTTCATTTGTTTTTTAAACATGCATAATACTAGCCATCATATATTACAGATGTTGAGTATGCTACATTAAAACGATTTTTCAGCCTCACCACACTGTTACAGGCCATGCTATATCTAATGACTGTGTATCTTGACAATAGTCTTGCAGCATATTTTCCATTGTAAAAGGCTCCTTCTTAAGGTTGTCATGTTCAAAACACACTCCTCCTTTCTGATTGTTTATCAAAAATCATCTGGTTTACGAAAATGATGATTTTCTAGTGCCCGTTACAACAGTCTAATCACACATAAATCTAAAGGCACTATGTCTGGTAACTTGTACATTGGCTTTTTTAATTATTTAAACAGAAGTTACGTGCATTCTATCTCTTTTTTTTTTTTACTTTTATCAACTAAGGAAGCTTCGCTGAAGAAGTGAAACATCTTGATAAAGGATTTATCTTCAATTACCAAGGAAAAGGTGAAGTTTTTTTTTCACAAGTTTACAGGGAGCAAGTTGTCATCGAGTTTTCTTTGCCTGACTCTATGGTCAGTAAAAGTGTATTTTCAAATAATTATTGCATATTTTGCCTATTTAGTTATGAAGTTACATTTTATTTTTACGAACCGTGAGTGTACCACTGGCAAGTGTCTTGGGTTGGTTCTGTCAACATCCACAGAACTGAAACGTGTTATGTTCTTTATCCTTAGACTTAAAAATGAAAGTTTACGATTTTGTGTCTGTTTATAAGCAAAGAACAATCTGTTGGTTGTATATCATATCTCTGTAGATTTCGTTACTATTTGTTCAAACAAGTTGAAAAAACCAAATTAAATATCAAAGTCTCTGAATAACGACTTTTTTTGCATGCTGTAGTTAAGTAATACTACACAACAGAACGATTCCCGTGTATCGAAACTAGAATCTAATTAATATTTTCTTAGATTGATATTGTTTTATGTATATTTTTGTATAAGCGATTTTCAAAATTTCAATACTATGGTATACTTCTGTTGCAAGACCTACACAAGAAATAATGATTTTGAGAATAAGTGACCATAAACTACACCTATATTTTGACAGATCAGAGCTGAAAGTAACTGAATATTTCATATTCTATAAACAACTGTTGGACCCATCCGTGAAAAGTCAGCTTTTTAGGTCAAATATGAAGCAAAACGATGATAAGCTAAAAAAACAGAAAGCCATTTACATAATTAAGGCGTGCGCAAGAATGACCAAAGCATACAAAAAAAATAATTTAGTAAAAAATATACTAAATACATTATGCACCAGCTTAGTTGTATACAAAATAGTAACTCTTCAACAAATGTTAAAAGTAACAAGGTACAAAAAACACTTCAGGTAGTGACATACAGAATAAAGCTACCATGATACTGAGATGATACCATATGCAAACACATTTATCATTCTAGCTTATACAGAATATAAATATGAAAAGACAGGAACAGCAGTAACGGCTGTTAAACACAAATAATGAATGAATCAGAGAGATGGTAGGCAGGCAATAACTGAATTATTAATCATTAATACTGCCACTAACCAATGAATCACTGATC